GAACAACGTTCCTATTCCCATAAATCAACGTAAACTAAGCTCGTACCAAATTCAATATCGGGACATTTGTTTGCAAAAATTTTCTTCATATTTTTAATGAAAAACAACATTTTGTTTTAAACTGCACTTTAAAAAGTTTTTAAACTAATTTAAAACGGCATTTACTAAACATGGACTTTGACATACTATATTTCAAACACATTCATATTAGCTCTCCACTTATTGATTTGGCAAAAAAAAAAGTTGTTATTCTTTTGCTCATTCCTTCTCATCCAACACATCTTCTTCAACTCTGCTCAGGTTATCAGGTCTCGCTATGGTAAAAGTTTAACATCAAAAGCATGTTTAAAATGAACAAAAAAAAAATTCAAAAAAAAAAAAAAAAAAGTTAGGTATAATGTAAAAATGAGACTCTAAAGCGAAAGTGTTTACTGTGATAACTAAATTAAAACTAAAAAAAATTAAAAGGTTCTCAATATAATTTAATAATCTTTTAGCGTTTAAAAGTTATGTTAAAGAAAAATGTTTAACGAGGGGAGATCCTAGATCATCTAGTAAAGATGATCAATTTTAGGGATCAATTTTGAAGTTTTTTTTGGTTTGGTGGATACAGACCATCTTGTAAGGAGGGGGTGGTGAGATGATCTGATTTTTCAATTTTATTAAAATTTTATATCATTTTTGAGCACTCTATTGAAATTAATATTTTTTTTTCAAACAACAAAAAGTTAAATTTATAGAAAAAATAAAATAAAACATTTTTAAATTTAAATCAGAAAAGGGAAATTGCCCCATCGCCCCTCCTCCTATGAATCCGTCCTTGTATATAAACTCCTCAATTTGGGGATGTTGAAAACGTCACGCGATCATAAGTTTTTATTACTAAAAGAATATTAGATCTAATTTAAAATCCGCTGATAAAGTTACATATGTTACAAGATAGTAAAAAAATATTCCCACCACTTATGGGGTCACTTCCCATCTAGCACACTTACATTGGGCCAACGTATGTAAAACCATCACAACCGTTGGCTCTTTTTTCCAATGCAAAATTCCAAAATTCATTGCAAATATTTTAAAATTCCAATGTAATTCAACTAACGTTGATCCAATGTCATTTGGTTAATGATAAAATTGTTACTGACGGAATTAAAAACATCTGGCAAATTTAAATTAGCCCAATGTATGTAAAAACATAGTAAAAAGTTGATTGTTTTTACGATCTAAACCCAATGTTGATCCAATGTATATATTTCCACGTTGATTCGATGTATATAAATCAACGTTTTTCCAATGTAGGTAAAAACATCGTAAAAAGTTGATTGTTTTTACGATCTAAACTCAACGTTGAGCCAATGTATATATTTTGACGTTGATTCAATGTATATAAATTAATGAAAATTGAATTCTGAATAATATTAAATACAACGTTTTGCCAATTAAAATTCAATGTTGAATCAACGTAAATACAACATTGTCACAACTTAAAGTACAACGTTGGTAAACGTATAAAATAAAACTTTGAATCAGCGTAAAAAATATAACCATTTTCCGACTTTAAATAAACCGACAAGATAAAATAAAAGCTTATATCCCCGCCTGAATTCAGCAGATTACAAAGGAGGCACAATTATAAGCAAAATGACAAAAAATATCAAGGATTGTCTCAAAAGAAAACCACAAAAAAAAAACTAGTTACAAAGTCAGCTTTAATTTAGTAGCAAGTACTGCTATACTAAATTGAGTCAGAAAAAAAAAGCACAACGGGTGGTTTAAAACATATCATGGTCCAAACCACCTAAAGGAAAACAAGTAGAGACTGAACAAAAGCTAATTCACAAGAAGTGAAAATACGTGATTAAGTTGGATGGACAAGCAACACTTTTAGGAGTTTAAATGCAATTATGACCACTAAAAAGCTACTAGGGTAATTATATTGATAACCTCTGTAGGTTAGTTTAAGGTGTAAGCTCTTGTCAACTCGCGTACACTCAATATTTTCTGATATATTTTGTGTTTAATTATTTTTTAAGTGTTTGCTGAGTTGGTCATTATATTAATAAGTTTTATTGAAGATTTTTTTTTCCATATTTTGTTAGTAAAATGGTGGTATAACACGCTATAAATGTGTAGTTGGTGTTAGTTTTGGCATCAGAGTGGGTATATCAAACTCCGCATCTAGACAATTATATAAAACGATGGTAACACAGCTTGGCTTTTTTTTTTCTCTTCATTTTATTTAAAATTTTTTCCAAGTTTTATTTTAAAAAAAATTTTCTTTGTATTTTTTATTTTCTTGTTTTTTTTTTAAGTGTCACTCCATTGACTAGTTTTTAACTATATGAGTGGCAACTAACTTTATTTATGTAAGTTTATACTATATTATTGTAAATTTTTTATGGTTAAATAAATGGATTAAAGAAAATAAACAATACAGATGTATATTTAAAAAAATGATGAACATAAATGTCGATTTAAAAAAAAAATATTGAACATAGATGTAGATTTATGAAAATTATGAAAAATAGATTTATGAGCATAGATATAGATTATGAAAAGGATTTATTTCTTGCTACAATTTCATGTAGTTATAATATTGGCTCATCAAAATTTAGAGTATTTTGCTCAAAACTTGCTTTGTTTTATGTGAACCTGTATCAACAACATCCTATGTTTCTATAAATATTTATTTTGTGCTGATGAAGTAATTGAATCATTTACTCTTTCACTAGGTATGTTTTGTAAAGTGATTAAAAAGGCTACCGATAAATATTAGATAACTTACCTTAAAACCTATACTAAATGCAATCAAAAAAATCAGAGATGATAAATAAATCTTCGCGAATTATATTGGCTTGAAAATTGTTTTGCATAGCTGACTACCACTTCTAAGGGTCTGGTTTCCAAACTAGGCAAATAGTTTTCATGAATAAATTAATTTTGTTTGTTTTTGAACTTTTCTGTTCGACATCTTCATCTGTGTGCGTGTTTTCTGTAGCAACTTTCTTAAAAAAAACTCAAGAAACTATTGTCTACCTCAATTTTTTTATCATTTTCAAGTAGAGATGACTCATCATCGGTGCTGCTAAATGTTTTAAAACAATATTGGTACCAGTATGTCAACCAAAAAACGGTTTCATCGCTAAAACAATATTTTCAAGAATAAAATCTGGAGATATCCATATCCGGCAAAGTTTTAGTTAGTTTAGCGTACTGCTCAAAATGCCTCTTGTGAAAGTGGTTTTCCAGAGAAGTTATAGCTGAAAAGAAACTAGAGTACTTAAACTTAAGTTAGAGTAATTAAAGTACTTACTGTTCAAAAAAAATAGAGGAATAAAAAAATTGCCACCGTAAATAGTTTGTTATATTAAAACATATTTACTTAGTTAAAATATAA